CAACACAGACGCTTATTGGTAAAAACAAAAAAAAAAAAAAAAAAAACCAAAAAACCCTCAATTTTATTATAAACCCCACTCCAAAGAAACACACACAAAAAAACGAACAGAACCAGTGCAATATGTGCTCACTCATACTGCAATTTAATTCAAAGTGTAATTCAAAAGTTTTGTGGGTGGTAAGATTTTTTTCTAGTAAGCCTATAAAGCAAAACGCATAGGTCTGTACAAGTGTGTGTGTGTGTGTGTATGTATATGTATATGAGAGAGAGAGAGAGAGAGAGAGAGAGAGAAGGGTGAAGAGTCATTTCCTTCACAAGCTCCTCTCTGCTCATCTACTGGTGCCTTATTTATTTATTTTATTTACCCGTGCTTTGGATCAGTCCTGTTCAGCTCCATATTTAAGCACATACACAAGTATAAGTTTTCTAGTAGCAATTTTTCTTTTCAGGAAAAAAAAGGGTAAAATTAATTTTAATGATATTTAACCCAACATACCAAAAATATTATTTCAACATGTAATCATAAAACGTATTAAGATCAGTGTAAAAACCTTAAATTCTTGTTACACATATTAATTCCTCAAAATGGGGTGTGTATTGTACACCTGCAGCACATCTCCATTAGCCTTTCAGGTTCTAAGCAGCTCCCTAGCCAGTGGCTATCCTACAGGACAGTGCAGCCCTGGAAGGATCCCACTGTAAATAGCCTGTAATCACTTACTACAAAAAGATAATGAACCAACTGGAACCAGCTACGAAAGTGGGAGAACTTACGGAACTCCATTCTTCAACCCCTGTTAAAAAGGAAGGAATGTGATATACTTTATAACATATCCCTAAACTATACATTTAGAAAGGGAAGGGGGAAAGAGAAGGACGAAGAAAAGAATTGCCACTTGGTATGCGGGGGTGTTGGGGTGGGAGCGCCTGGGGCCAGGGAAGCCCCCCTAGGTCCTCAGGATGGATCCTTAAGTTTGGAGTGAGCTACCAAAATCTCCAGAGTTCAAGGGAGTTTCAGGCTTCCCACGCCCGCGCAGCCACCCGTCGCCGCCCGCAGTTTCTCCGAGGACAGCCGCCGGGTTCGGCCGGCGTTATTAAGGCTCTGCCTCGCCACCCTCAACCCGAAGCCCGCGCTTGGAAGGGCGAAAACTCACCCCCCAGCCACGAAATCCCTCGGCTGGGCTGGAGGACAGAGCCCAGAGCCGCTAAACATAGCGTAACCACGGCAACAGCCAATCCCAGGGAAGCTAGACGGGCCTGTCCTTACAGGTGCCCCGGAAGGACAAATTATCCTGAGTCTAGCTAGGCATGAGCGCTGCATCTCAGGGGCTGACGAGAAGCTTAAAGTTTGTGTCCAGGTGGGTTTTCGTACTTAAATAATTTTGGAGACTGCTTAATGAAGAAATGTCCTTTATCATAATTTCCTAAGCAGAGGTACACTGGCCTTTGTATTATTTCTCAGTTATCTGTACTGATACTAGGCATCTCTTGAATGTTGAGTTGTCCATTTGTAAATTTGTTCACTCCACAAACCCCTAATTCTGAATAGCAATTTGTGGGACCTGGAGTAAAGAAGTCAGCATGTTGTTTGCCTTCCACTATAATTTCTTTAAAAATAAAAAAAAAAAGAAAAGAAAAATAATCAACTATCAATCAATACCCACCAAAAAAACCTCTAACTGAAGGGATGTGTGGCATGAAAATATGGAACTGCTTTTTTCAGGAATTCTTTTATTGTTCAAATATTTATGGACATCCACTATCTTAATGTATGGTCTAAAGTTTTAAGAACATGTCATGAGATTTAATGTTAACTTTAAAATTCTTCAAAATTTCTCCCATGGAGAAAAGATAGAGTACAAAACGTGAACATTTGTTTTAACTAATAACAGATATTTCTGATCTTAACTTTTTGAAAGAATTCCAAAAAGTCATTAAGTCCCAGGAGGAAGTGGTCAAGTATAATTATAAAAGATACATACCATACAATGAACTAAAAGTAAACATTTCATTGAGCCTCTGAAAGAAAATAGAATATTTCCTGGTGACAATAAAACTGAATTGCACCAACATAGGAACTAGTAAGACACAATGAGAAAACAGTAGACTTTTGATATAAAAAACACATGATAGTGCCTTTTCAGGAAAGGTAGTTTTTTTTTGTTTGTTTGTCTTTTTTTGGAGAGGTTTTTTCGCTACAGAGCACCTACGCTCACCAGACAGACAGAGAGAGACAGAGAGACAGAAAGTGAGAAATCAGCCGTCCGGGGGGGTGGGGTGGGGAATGACCACACCGCAGTCCCTTCTCCTCTGTTCTCCTCTCGGGATCTTGGTCACACATGCACACACACATACGCCCTGCGTGAGTTTTAAACCACCGGGTCCGGGACTCGAACTGTGGTCGACTACATGGGAGTCCAGCAACATAGCCATTACGCTAACTGCTGGTCCCTAGGTATAACTAATTTTGAAAACCCTATATAAAGTGCTTTCCTTCATAAAGCTTTTTTGTCATACAAATTGATAGCAGAACAAAAATATTGACAGTCTGGGGGTCCAGCAGGTGGTATAATGTTGGAGGCTTGGACTCCCACATGGCCAGCTGCGGTTCGAACCTGGACCTGGTGGCTTGTTTCTTCCTTTCTTCTTCTTCTCTCTCTCTCTCTTTGTGTCTCTCTCTGGTCAGATAAAAATAAATGAATAAATAAGTAAAAACAAATGAATCTTTAATAAAAAAAAGCAAGTCAGTCTGAAGATAAATAAAGCTATTGTCAGAGATCTCTTATATCCTTATGTTACTTTTTATTACTTTGGAAGAAAACTGACAACTCTGTAAACCAATCATAATTTGACTTAATATTACTAATAAAGAAGGAACAAAATGCAAAAATTATCTAAAATAGTTACAGATTATACATAAATTAAACTTGAAACTTTTGCATATATATGGTGTTTATCAGAAGTCCATTTAATTTGCAGACTTCCTAGAAATAATAGCACTACATTGAGGATGTTTGTTTGCCCATGACCTTTTTAACTGATTAGGTATTTTTTTTTTTCTTTCAAATGGTAACTTCATCTCATTTAAATTTAAAAACTCATTCGTGGATCTGGTTGATTTATAACCTATTGCCCTAAAATACACATTTTCTTTCAAGAATGCATGTTTATTGAGTGAATGAAAGTATGTGAAAGAACTCTTTGTTTTCTGTTATCTGATAATAATATTTCTTTGAAAAATGTTAATTCAGTGGTGGAAGCACTTTAGTTCAATAGTACATTTCAACACCTGCAGTGACATAATTTAAATATCTCAGGATATCATCATAGTCTCAAAAGGGTTTCATAGCAGATTTTCCTTGTTTGTTTTTTTAAAGACAAGGTGTTTACAGAGAAATACTGTGTCAGCATAGGGTTCATAGTGCCACATATCAGATATTGAGGCCTTTTCCTCTCTTCCACTTGGTGGGTGTCACAACCTTTAGGTTCCCTCTCTGATGTTCTTTGTGCTCCTTCCTTGCAGTTGAAATGACCACCTGCCTCTAAGGAAATTCGGAGTTTATCATCTTCCACAACTCCCATTCCATTCCGCATCCTCACATGCATCCCCACTCCCACCACCCCCCCCAATATAATTTTAGTATTTTTATAGTAAAATGTGGTAGAATGTAATTTACAGCTAACATTTAGGCAGCATTGGCTATGTGCTTTACAAGTGTAATCTCATACAACGTCCCTTTGAGGTGTGTACTATATACTATAATCTACATTTGCAGAGGATGCCACTGGCGAAAGGTTATCTAGAGAGCACTTTCTATCTCTGAGTCTAAATCTCAGCTCCGCCACTTATTGACTAGTTGACCTCAGGCAAGTTGTTTCACCTTGCTCTCTTTCCTCACTGGCAATACTGGAGATGCTGATATAATAACGCCTAATGTGCAAAGTTCTGATCAGGCAAATCAATTTAAGTGATGCCTTGTATGATATGGGATGATGTTGGGAGCTTACTCACTTAAGCTCCACAGACTTGGGTTCAGGCTCTTTGGTTCTTTCGAAGGGCAGTTTGGGCAATTCTGGTTCCTACTATATCTCTCATATCCTGATACTCTTTGCTGTCCCTGCTGCCATCTTGCAGTTTTGAATACATTCATCTCTTATGAATTAGTACATTTGCTTTGTAAGGTTTCCCTGGTCTTAGGTTTCTTTTCAAATTTGACTTCTACATGCATGCCGAATTACAACTCCCCATTATCTTCAGGGAAAAAAAAAAGGAAACTTTTTAGCTAAGCACACATGATTCTTCATTACTTCTATTGAGTCGCTTTCTCTAGGCTGACCTTCCATCTTATGTCACTCTGATGGATCCCTCCTTACATCTCACGGTAAAGCTTGGGAATATTTTGTTTCATCTGTCTTGAGCGCTTCCTACCTCCACCCTATTTCATCTGATTAGGGCCTTCTTAATCATCCTTCCAGAATCATCTCAAATTCTCTGTGACTCTTCCCTTTTCCCTTTCATAGCCCTACTCCAAGACATAATTCAGAATTGGACATAGATTTTAATATTTGACTTCTTGATGTGTTCTGTCTTGTTTCTTTTGCTATTCCCAACTCCTTGCCCTTAGAATGAATGTAAAAGTAATAACAAGTAAGTAGTTTATTTAACTAGTGAGCAATAACACCTATGAATAGCTGAATTATTCTAAGTTGTTTGGCCATGTAGCTTTGAAAAATATCTCTGCAGTTGGACCATTAATTAAGTATTCATGTGCTGAACCACGAGAACAAAAGCACATCAGGACCTTATTTGATCGATTTTAAAACAGTCTTTGTTTATAGAAAAAGAAAATATAGTCCTTAGATACTGCAAATATGTACAATAAATAAGAATGGCAGCCACTTACTGTGTATCCTTGTGTTAGCACATCTCTATTGTGATAGACATTGTTTCCAGTATGTGGGGCTTGTGGCTGAAAAGTTGAACACATGACACTTCTTTACCATTCAGAGTAAACATGCCAAGGGCTTCCTTGGCCAGTTGCTTGGACACCCAGTTTGTTGTGTTCTGTTTTCCTGAGCTGCTGTTTTGAAACTGTAATGTACATCTTCCTTTATGACTTTGGCTGTCTTTGAGAATACTGAATTTCATACCTTTTTTGACCTCAATATTATGTAACACCAATCTAGAAATGTCTTCCTTTATTGGTTGTCATGAGATCATTTTGTAAAGGTGTGCTTTAAAAGTCAAATTTAAAGAGAAGTCAGAGTCAAACATCTGCTCGTTTTTTTATCTCTAGACAGTTCTGACTTTTTTTTAAGTTTTATTTTATTCATTATCAAGAGCATGTGCAGAAGAGAGAAAGAGAGATGCACCCTCTAAAGGATGATGTGGTCATGATCACGTCCCTTAGCCTTTCAGCTCATCAGGGTCTTGGGTACCCACACATGTGTGCCGTGTGTTTCAGGCTGACTAAGCCAAGGATCCACACCCACAGTGACCATGTTGCTCCCAGCATTGTAGTTCTGTAAGCTCTCTCCTGACTGTGCCATAGAGGCTGGGTCCTTCTCTTTCATTCACTGCCATGACATTGGCTCTCTCGGGATGACTCCCAAGTCTGACTCCCTCCCTTTTTGACCTCAATATCAACTCCTGGCACTTAAGAATGAAGGTAAAAAAGTACTAACAAGTAAGCAGAGTTTATTTAACTAGTGAGGAATATCACCGATGAATAGCTGAATTGTTGGAGCATCTATCCATTTATCTGCATTCCAATTCCAGTGCTTTAGGGGCATAACTACATAGATAACCCATTGCCAGTTGAAGCTCAGGTATCAAAATAATAAACTTTTCTTCCAATATTTCCCCAAAATTTTCTGATTTCCAGTGATTATGCATTTATTTTCCCATCCTCCAGGTATCCTTCTAACCATCTGTCATTCTTTCTTTTCCATAGTAAAGCATATTGATAGTTTATCCTAGCCTTCTCCTTCTCCTTAAGTGATCTTTTAAAATAGCCCTTTCCTAACTTCCCTCCCTGCCATTCACCTCTTTTCTTCGCCCTGGGAACGTGGCTGCCTGTACCTACAGCTGAGTGGTATGTGTTCAAGGCTGTGCCTCTGGAACAGGAGTAGAAGGGAGGTGTGCAGAGTCTACCTTACTTGCCTGAGAGATGCTTGCCTGAGTTTACTGTCATCTTTTACTTTCTGCTAGGTATGAAAGATGGCACCTGGAACAAATTTGGGAGCCGCATGCTAAATAGGTCAGAGCTACCCTCAAGTTCTAAGATGAGCTCTTTTTTTTTTGGAGAGGTTTTCGCTATAGGGCGCGTGCGCTCGCCAGACAGACAGAGAGAGACATAGAGACAGAAAGCAAGAAATCACCCCCCAGGGGGGATGGTCACGCCGCAATCCCTTCTCCTCCATTCTCCTCTCGGGATCTTGGGCACGCACGCACACGCGCCCGGCGTGAGTTTTAAGCCACCGGGTCCAGGACGCGAACCGCGGTCGACTACGTGGGAGTCCAGCGGCATAGCCATTACGCTAACTGCTGGTTCCCCTAAGATGATTCTTAAAAGAGAATGAGCCACCCATTTCTGACTGAGACAGAAGTAAGCTTCAGCGTATTTCCATACTTGGATCCCATAACAAAGCATTTTGACTTGTCTCTATTTAAGACACTCATTATTACCACATCAGCACCCAAGTCCCTGCTTTTGACATTACACACCAGAGTTACTGCGGAGATTTCTGGTTCATTAGTCTCCATTCTCTTTCTCAATCACAGGCAAACAGAGGCCGAGACTTTGGGGCAGAGTTCTTGTTCAGGCTGTTGGGTAACAGCTTTGTCATATGGTACCATAAATAAAACTGAAACAAAAATATAGATCTATAGGGCATTTGGAAGAAACTGAAATAAAAACATGTAGTCTTTCTAATTGTTTCCCATTAAAATGTGTCAGGGATTGGAGGAATTCGGGAAAAAGACTCTAGACAGACACCAGAGAACTCAAAACCGGAGGCAGGAAATGAAGCCTGCAGACACTTCTTAGGCTGGGAAGAAGAACACTGGGAGTTTTTAGGAAGAATGTGGCTTCTGGTTAAAGGAGAGAGGGAAGTACATAGACTGTAATATTGATATTTCTGATTTCTCTGCTTTTCTGTACTTCCTTCAGCTCAATAGACAGACTGGTTTATTCCTAATTAGGAACAAATAGCTTCAAATTACACTTATTAAATCTGTTTTCACCATGTCAATTATGCACTGCATATACTAAAATATTGCAAACTGCAATACATATTAAAAATATGAATTGAAATAATGAAAGAGAAGAGAGAGAACCCAGAAATAACCAAAAATAAAAAATTAAATCTTCATGTCCAATGGAGAAAAAACTAATGGGGTTAGTGTTGATTTTTCCATAAAAGCTTTAATAAAAGTTGCTACTTAGAAAATGATTGTTAATGAAAATGACCTTAAGTTAATTTTCATTCCTTATAGTTTACACCAAACTAAACTGTAGAATAATTAAATACTTAATTCATCTAGCCTTTTGTTTATTTAACAAATGTCTCTTGAGTACCTACTGTGTGCTAGTCTTGGGAGTTATAAGATAGACATATAAGACCTACTGTCTCCACTTGAATACCTCTGATTTTAAGTGGAGAAGAAGACAGGTAAATGAGAAAATAATGCTACCACTGATATGTTATACAAATCCCTTTTTGATTTTGACTGTTAACTAAAAAACCACAGACACATGCTTATTTTAAATGTAGATGCTGCCTAGCCAAAAAACATGTAGATACAGGTACAGGTTAAAGAAATCTTCAGCTTGCTCTTGTATGGGAGATGTTATACCAACAACTGTTTTGAGAAGAAAAATGTGAAAAATATAGGACAGAAGTAGGGAGACTTATCTAAATTTGTTATTGTGCTGAGTGTTAACAGTGAAAGTTATGGTTATCTTTTTAGAATCATCACTATCCAGAGAGAAAAGAATGCTAAGAAAAAACAAGATATTAATTTTTAAGTACTTTCTTAATCTCATTAATGGAGCTTTCATGGTAAGAATCTTCATAATTTTTCAGTAGAGAAAATATAATGCATTTTTATAGACAACTGCTTTTACAAATAAGCATTATCATTACCTGTGTTTTTTTTAGATTCTTGGACTTTTATTTATTGGATTTGGTGCATGGCTTTTATTAGATAGAAATATTTTAACACTGCTGGGTATGTATCTATTTTTTTTTTTCTCGCTCAATGAAGTGAACAAAGCATTTCCTTTTAAATGGTTACATATGTGATTTATTCACCAGGTGGCAGTATTTCTCTAAAATTCATTGTGTATCTTCTTATGTTTCCTATGAAGGGTAACTTGTTTCTCTCCCTTATGGTCTTGTCAACTAATTCTCACTCCTAATCCTAAAGTATTTGCAGAGAAAAACTCCTGCCAAGATAGTCAGAAACTTATCCTGTGAGTTCTGTTTTTAAAATCATGTACTCAAAACACTGAATGGAATCTTAATTAAAATGTCAGGATCTACAGCATAGGAGTGAGTAGGTAATAAAGAGTGGAAGACAAGATCAGGGAAAAAAAAATAATCACACACAAAAATGAAAAAGTTATCTGTTGATGAGACTGTATATAGTAATCTCTTTGACTTGTCTAATATACACCGAGAAATCTAATATGCTGAGTAGAACCATTTTGTATGCTGTAAAGATGCACAGAGATTAAATGTAATGTAAAAGGGGAACCAGCGGTTAGCATAATGGCTATGTCGCTGGACTCCCACGTAGTCGACCACGGTTCGTGTCCTGGACCCGGTGGCTTAAAACTCACGCCGGGTGCGTGTGCGTGCGTGCCCAAGATCCTGAGAGGAGAATGGAGGAGAAGGGATTGCGGCGTGACCATCCCCCCTGGGGGGTGATTTCTCGGTTTCTGTCTCTATGTTTCTCTCTGTCTGTCTGGCAAGCGCACGCTCCCTATAGCGAAAATCTCTCTCTCAAAAAAAAAAAAAAAGAAAAAAAAATTTAAACAATTCTTTAAAAATATTAAAATAGGACCTAAAAACATAAAGATAAAGTGTTCAGTGAGCACAATGCACAGGTAGAAAAGGTACTAAAAGACAGTTCCAGTTTAATATTACTGAGTAAAACCATCTTTAAAAATATTTTTTTAGGGGCTAGA